CGGAAGTACCCTTTGGAGGCGGGCAGTCGAACACTCTAAAGGCGGTGCCTGTGTTTCGGGGTGGGTGGTGCTGAGGACACTAGGGCGGTTTTCTGCTTTTCGAGTTAGCTCGGCCCCCAGCTGAAGGGCTAACTCCTGTTTCCAGTGTAAGTCCCATCCCCACTCGCAGAGGTGCTCAGGTGCGCCCTGTACACGGGCTGCTGGAAGGTTGAATTCCCTCCTCCCCTTTAGCTGAGGTCCCTTGAGCAGGCCGAAAGGTGCACCACCAATGCTTGTGCCCTCCTTGTCCCCGGGGGTGGGTTTCTTCAGGCTTTGTTTGGTTTTCAACACCACCCACCGGAATCTCTCTGGGCGAGCCCTTTCCTGTCCAGGTCCCTTGCCCAAGATTCCTGACGTGGCTGCTTAGAGACAGCAACGCCCCTGCTGTCGTTCCGCATCCTGTCAGTTGTCGCACTTCCCCCACCACCTCCCCAGCCCCAACCCCCCACCGCCTGTGCCAGGGCATTAACCGCCGACTGCTAAGTATAGGTTAAAACTAGACAGTCCATTTTTCCCCCCTTCAAAGTTGAATGAGATTTAAAGACCTAAACAGATGGGGTTACTGCTGCTTTGTTCCCTATAGCTTCTGCAAAATTTCACTGTGAATATTCCTATCGTTTTTCTATTTCAGTGCAGATGTGTGTATGCCCTTCCCAAAATAATTCCATATTTCCAAGAGTATGGTAGTGTTATGGCCAAGTCACAAGGACCCCAAAGACCACCAAGGAGGCAAACTTGAGCTCAGGTCCACACAGTCACCTACCAGGCTCTGTCACTAATGCAGCGGTACAGTGAAGAGCCCCGAGCTCAGGGAGAGAGGGTTTGATTTCTTTTTTTAATTTATTCACTTATTATTTACACAATATTCTGCCTGCATGTATACCTACACACCAGAAGAGGACATTAGATTTTATTACAGATGGTCTTCATCCACCATGTGGTTGCTGGGAATTGAACTCAGGACCTTTGGAAAAACAGCTTCTTTAGGTGTACAAATTTTAGTATGATTATCCTATATTATATGTCTAATATCCACTCATAAGTGAGTATATACCATGTGTGTCTTTCTGCTTCATGGATACCTCACTCAGAATGATCTTTTCTAGTTCCCACCATTTGCCTGCAAATTTCATGATTTCCTTGTTTTTAGTTGTTGAGTAGTATTCCACTGTGTAAATATGCCACAATTTCTGTATCCATTCCTCAACTGAGGGACATCTGGGTTGTTTCCAAATTCTGGCTTCTATGAATAAAGCTGCTACAAACAAGGTTGAACAAATATCCTTGTTGTATACTTGGGCATGTTTTGGATATATGCCTATGAGTGGTATGGCTGGATCTTGAGATAGCACTCTGAGAAAGCGCCAAACTGATTGCCAAAGTGGTTGTACAAGTTTACATTCCCACCAACAATGGAAAAGGGTTCTCCTTTCTCCACATCCTCTCCAGCATGTATTGTCCCTTGAGTTTTTGATCTTAGCTATTCTGATGGCTGAGAGATAAAATCTCAAAGTCATTTTGATTTGCATTTCCCAGATGACTAAGGACGTTGAGCATTTCTGTAAGTGTGTCTTTGCCATTCAATATTCCTTGATTGAGAATTCTCTGTTTAGCTCCTTACCCCATTTTTTTAAATTGGATTACTTGGTTTGTTGCTGTTTAACTTCTTGAGTTCTTTATATATTCTGGATATTAGCCCTTTGTCAGATATAGGGTTGGTGAAGACCCTTTCCCAATCTGTAGGCTGTTGTTTTGTTCTAACAGTGTTCTTTGCTTTACAGAAGCTTTTCAGTTTCATGAGGTTCCATTTATTGATTGTTGATCTTCGAACCTATGCTGTGGGTGTTCTGTTCAGGAAATTATCTCCTGTGCTAATTAGGTCAAGACTTTTCCCTACTTTTTCTTCTAACAGGTTTAGTGTGTCTGGTTTTATGTTGAGGTCTTTGATCTACTTGGACTTTAGTTTTGTGCAGGGTGATAAGTATGGATCTAGTTGCGTTTTTCTACATGTAGACATCCATTTAGACCAGCACCATTTGTTGAAGATTCTATCTTTTTCTTATTGTATGGTTTTTGGCATCTTTGTCAACGACCAGGTGTCCATAAGTGTGTGGGTTTATTTCTGGGTCTTCTATTGCATTCATTGATCCACCTTTCTGTTTCTATGTCAGTACCATGCAGTTTGTGTTGCTGTTGCTCTATAGTACAGCTTGAGATCAGGGATGGAGATACTTCAGAAGATCTTTTACTGTAGAGGATTGTTTTAGCAATTCTGGGTTTCTTGTTATTCCATATAAATTTGAGAATTTTTCTTTCCAGGTCTGTAAAGAATTGTGTTAGTAATTTGATGGGAACTGCATTGCATCTGTAGATTGCTTTTAGTAAGATGGCCATTGTTATTATGTTAATCATGCCAAGCCATGAGCATGGGAGATCTTTCCATCTTCAGATATCTTCTTCTATTTCTTTCTTCAGAGACTTGAAGTGTTTTTTTTTTTTTTTTCATACAAGTCTTTGACTGCTTGGTTAGGTTCACACCAAGGTACTTTATGTCCTTTGTGGCTATTGTGAAGGGTGTTGTTTCCCTAATTTCTTTATCAGCCCTTTTGTCTTTTATATACAGGAGGGCTTCTGATTTTTTGAGTTAATTTTGTATCCAGCCATGTTGCTGAAGGTGTTTATCAGCTGTAGATAAACACCCTGGTAGAATATTTAGGGTCACTCATGTATACCATAATATCATCTGCAAATAGTGATGCTTTGACTTCTTCCTTTCCGAACCAAATCCTTTGATCTCCTTTATTTGTCTTATTGCTCTAGTAAGGACGTCAAGAACTATGATGAAGAGATATGGATTGAGCAGCCTTGCCTTTTCCCTAATTTTAGTAGGATTGATTTAATTTTCTCTCCGTTTAGTTTGATGTTGGGTATAGGCTTGCTGTATATTGCCTTTACTATGTTTAGGTAATTGCCTTGTATTCTTGATCTCTCCAGGACTTTAAACATGAATGGGTGTTGGATTTTGTCAAATGCTTTTTCAGCATCTAAGGGGATTATCAAGGAGGACCCTGGGTAAGATGCTCGATTTTTATTCAGAAATGCAAATGAGATAGATATAGGAAGAAGATAAAAATAAGGAACAAGACAGGAGCCTACCAGAAAGGGCCTCTAAATGACTCTACCAAGCAAGGTATCAAAGCAGATACTGAGACTCATAGCTAAACTTTGGGCAGAGTGCAGGGAATGTTATCAAAGAAGGGGGAAAGATATTTGAAAGACCTGGAAAAGTCTAGAGCTCCACAAGGAGAACAATAGAAACAAAAATCTGGGCCTAGGGGTCTTTTCTGAGACTGATACTCCAACCAAGGCCCATTCATCGAGATAGCCTGACTCCCTGCACAAAGGTAGCCCATGGCAGCTCAGTCTCCAAATGGGCTCCCTAATAAGAGGAGCAGAGGCTGTCTCTGACATGAACTCAGTGGCTGACTCTTTGATCACCTCCTCCTGAGGTGGGAGCAGCCTGACTAGGCCACAGAGGAAGACTATGAAGGACAATACTGATGAGACAATGATAGGCTAGAGTCAAATGGAAGGGGAGGAGGTCCTCTACTATCAGTGGACTAGGGAAGGGAAATGGAAGAAGTTGAGGGAGGGAGGGCAAGATAGGTAGGGGACAAGGGAGGGGGCTACAGCTGGGATACAAAGTGAATAAACTGTAATAAATAAAAAAATATATTATATTTTTAAAAGATCCCCAAATTATAAATAAAAATTGTTGTTAGGAAAAAAAAAAAGAAAGAAAAACAGCTAGTGCTCTTAATGTCTGAAAGGTATTAAGCAGAAGAACACACACACACACATGAATTAAGAAAGCCAAACTCTGCATGGAAAACCATCTGTATCTCTAGTTCTAGAGGGATCTAATATTTCCTTCTGGCCTCCACAGGTACCAGGCATGTACATGGTGAATAGAAATACATAGAATACATGCAGACAGGCAGAACATTCATACATGTAAAATTACAAAAAAAAAGAGAGAGAATTTATTTCAAACTTAAAAAAGACCCTACATTAGGAGAATTAAATATATCTGTGGCACATGAATTTACATAATGGGAATACTGGTATTATTTTTCACAACTTTTCTATAAATATAAAAGTATAACAAATAAAGAATAAGTAGGTTATCTGGATGTGGCCCTGTTTTTTCAACAGCTCAAATGTTAGCACATTGTATCCTGTTCAATTTCAGAGTTCACCATACCTGCTTCCCAACCTGTAATATCTGTTTCTTTACATTGGTTCAGATATTAGCATTCCCCTTTTGTTCTCCTTCCTTTTTTATATTGAAAAATACTGCTACAAAGATTATAAATGCTTTCAAGTATCTCATCCTCACAGCTGAATATGAGGAGAAAATAGCCCAGTATTTGCTCAGCATTGTCTTATGGATGCTTATGTGAGCATGATTTTATGCCCAACATGATCATCAGATTTCACCCAAGATGAGACAGAGTCTCATGCATTCCAGGCTAGCCTCAACTTTTCTATGTATTTGAAGATGGCATTAAACTCCTATTTCTTTTGTCTTCCACACCCAAGTGCTGGGATTGTAGGCATGCCACACCATTCTAGATTCCTGAATACTCTTAGAGACTGATTTGTACAGTTGGAGGTGGAAAAGTTAGAGCTGATATTCTAGCAAGTCTTTGAATGTTTTGCTGAAACTTTGCAGAGCCATTTGTTTGCTTCTGGTACTGAGAATAAAAGTCTTGAAAGTTGATTTGTTCTCATTGCTGTAGTGTCTAATCTGCCACACACATTTATATTACATACTCTTCCAGAAAACATCACATGGACAACTGAGAGAAGTGCTAGTTCACCCTCTAAGAGCTGCAACTAGTAAAAGCAAGCTTAAAAAGATTGAACGAGCTTTTCTTTTTCTCTTTGCAGCTGTGAAGATGTCTGACAAGAACCAGATCGTTGCCAGGGCTTCCCTGGTTGAGCAGCTGTTGTCTAAAAGGTAGTTTGAGGATACTGGCAAACAGCTTACTGAGCTAGAAATAATTTATGTGTCTAAGGAACATCTCCAGGAGAAAGATGTAGTCAGAGCTGTTTACAGACTCCTCAGTGGCTTTGAGAAAGAAGACCAAGTTTCTGCTCGCAAAGTGGAGAACCTTCTATAAGAGTACACACTTCAAAACAAAGAGAAGCCTTAAATTACTCCATACAAATGTTAATAAAGGAGAAAGTGCAGCAGTTTTTCAGTATATGAGCCAGGATGAGATATTCAGTCTCTGCAGTTCTCTTTTTAAGCTGTCATCCCAAGATGTTGCAGAGTCAGCTGCAGCAGTTGGGTCTGAAAGTAGCACTACTTACTCAAAATTGAAAATAATGAATATTTAGGGGTGTGATGACTCTGAGTCCAATAGTAAGAGCTCATGTGTGTTCCGGGATCCCTTAATGTCTGTGAGCTCTAAATGCCTAGAGCTCCTTTACACAACATTAGCTAGTTCTTCCACAGATCACACAAAAGTTCATTTGTGGCAGAACTTTGCAAGAGAAATTGAAGAGCATATTTTTACCCTTCATTCAAACAACAAAAATATAAAACTTGTATTCAAAGCAAAGTTGCCAATTTGAACAACTCCAGAAATTCTCATTTACGACAAAACTTGCTCTCTGAAACCATGTTTGCAAGAAAATTTGCTGAAATGACTGTCCTGGACATGGCAAACCAAGAGTTGAAGCAGTTGAGGGCATCCTACACAGAATCCAGTATTCAAGAACATCGCCTTCCCCAAACAATTGGTAGTACACTAACAAATACAATAAAGTGCGGGCACTGTGAGAAATACAACAGCAGTCTCATTGTAATTGCCATAGGAACACTTTTCCTTCCAAGTTGGGTGCAGAATTCAAACCCACATGAACAAATGACCTATGTCATTTGTAATGAATGTAGAGAGCAGTGGTACCATAACAACTGGATGTGCTTGTAATTTGTAAATAATTCTTTCAAGGGCATATGTTTTATATGTTTAACATAACCCTTTTGTGCTCATTTTTTTTATAAATTTTTTTCTATTTTTGATTTTTTAAATTTATTCATTGATTTATTAATTACAGTTTATTCACTTTGTATCCCAGTTATATTTCCCTCCTTAGACCCCTCCCAGTACCACTCTCCCTCCCTCTTCTCCTCCCATGCCCCTCCCCAAGTCCGCTGATAGGCCAAGTTCCTCCTCCCCTTACCTCTAACCCTAGCTATCAGGTCTCATCAGGACTGGCTGCATTCTCTTCCTCTGTGGCCTGATAAGGCTGATCCCCCCTCAGGGGGAGGTGATCAAAGAGCCAGCCACTGAATTCACTTCAGAGACGGTCCCTGTTTCCATTACTAGGGAACCCACTTGGAGACTTAGCTGCCATGGGCTACATCTGTACAGGGGGTCAGGTTATCTCCATGCATGGTCCTTGGTTAGAGTATCAGTCTCAGAAAAGACCCCTGTACCCAGATGTTTTGGTTTTGTTGTTCTCCTTGTGGACCTCCTGTCCCCTCCAGGTCTTTCTGTGTCCAGCTACTTTCATAAGATTCCCTGTACTCTGCCCAAAGTTTGGCTATGAGTCTCAGTATGTGCTTTTATTCCTTGCTGGGTAGAATCTTTCAGAGGCCCTCTATGGTAGGCTCCTGTCCTGTTCCCTGTTTTCTCCCTCTTCTGATGTCAATCCTGTTTGCCTTTCTGAGTGAGGGTCCTTTAGGGTCATCCTTCTTGCTTAGCTTCTTTGGGTGTACAGATTTTGATATGTTTATCCTATATTATATGTCTAATATCAACTTATAAGTGAGTATATACCATGTGTGTCTTTCTGCTTCAGGGATACCTCACTCAGGATGATCTTTTCTAGCTACCACCATTTGCATGTAAATTTCATAATTTTCTTGTTTTTAATTGCTGAGTAGTATTCCACTATGTAAATGTACCACAATTTCTGTATACATGCCTCAGTTGAGGGACACCTTGGTTGTTTCCTGATTCTAGTTATTACGAATAAAGTTGCTATGAACATGGTTGAGCAAATGTCCTTGTTGTATACTTGAGCATATTTACAAAATTTTACGATTAGTTTTGTCTTTGGGATTTTGACTTGTGAAAGATATCACTAGATAGCCAAAGCTGGCCTCAGTCCCATGAATGCTGGGATTACATGTGTACACCACCACAACTGGCTTTATATACTGTTTTTATTACAGTCCTAAGAATGAAGAGAGAGAGTTGTATGCCAAAGTACAGGCCACGAATAGTAAAAGTTTTTTGGGAAGAGTAGAAGACTTCCACATTGTACTTCGTGGCCCTTTAGGACTTTACTCAGAGTGACACTGTAGCTCCACACAGCCAGAGATGATGTTAGAGATGCAGACTCTGGAAGAGATGCTCCTTGAGTCCTGATCTGCATTTTGGTAGGATCCCCATATTATCCTCTGGGATATTTTTAGAAACACTGACAAAGCACCAGGCCTGTGGTTCTCAGGAGTGACTATATTAGGATTTTCTGGGAACATTAAAATGTGCTTGTTCCAAGGACCAAGTCTAGGACAATTCAGTCTGAACCTATGTCATGGGACCCAGGAATCATCATTTCTGGTCATTTCTCAGCTGGCTTTAAGTTGAAGTTAAGAATTAAGAACTACCTGTAAGTAGTCTCTCATTTGAGCCTGAAGAAATTAATGTTATTCTGGAGACTTTACAGATGAGGAAAGAGGCCCACAGAACTGCAGTGACTCGCCCAGGTTACACAACTATAAGTAGTCTGCCTCACACTGATTCCAGACTTTTTAACTTTCTCCTGAAACAAGTGTGATGGCACATTCCTGTAATCCAAATGCTAGGGAAGATGAAACAAGAGGATTTATGTGAGTTCAGGGCCAGTTTGGATTGCAAAGTCCCTGTCTCAAAAAACAAACAAACAAACAAACAAACAAACAAACAAGCTAAAAGTGTATTGTGTTTCAAGCCTGTAATCTTAGCATTAGGAATGCTGACCAAACCTTTGGCAGAGTACAGGGAATCATAAGAAAGAAGGGGAGTTAGCCTGATGAGGAAAGGATAGGAGCTCCACAAGGACCAAATATATCTGGGCACAGGGTCTTTTCTGAGACTGACATGCAACCAAGGACCATGTATGAATGTAACCTAGAACCTCTGCTCAGATGTAGCCTGTGGTAGCTCAGTAACCAATTGGTTTCCCATAGTGAGGGGAACAAGGACTATTTCTAACAAGAACTCAATGACTGGCTCTTTGGCCTCCCCACCCCCCAAGGGAGGAGCAGTCCTGTTAGGCCACAGAGGAGAGCTTTGCAGCCAGTCCTGAAGATACCTGATAAAACAGGATCAGACGAATGGGGAGGAGGTCCCCCCTATCAGTGGACCTGGCAAGGGGCACGGTGGAGATGAGGGAGGGAGGGAGGGACTGGGAGGGAATGAGGGATCGGGACACGGCTGGGATACAGAGTTAATAAAATGTAACTGATAAGAAAAAAATAAAATTCAAAAAAAAAAAAAAAAGGAATGCTGAGCAGAATCCCATGGTTGAGGCCAGCCTGGGTTATATAGAGAAATACTGCCAAGATATAAAAGATTAGTCCGAGAACGACTTAATATTGACTTTTGCAAAGTGTGCTCTTGGAAATGGGTGCTAAGCAAACAGTTGTTGACATCTCTAAGCTTATGTAACTAGTTTTATTCTTTTTGTCCTTAATTTTTTCTCATTTTTCAAGTATCTTGGGCTGTGGAAAATTGAACTGTAAGTTAGATTTTGGCCCAAGAGCCTTCTTCCTTAGTTGAATGAATTCTGTATTTTTTGAGCACTTAATAAAGTCTTTATGATATATATAGTTTTGTGATGTTAGCAATCTGCATGCCTTCAAAGGCATGTCTGTTAGGTTTGAAATTCAAATTCTGCTTATATAAAATGGCACTAGTTGTTAGAAGAAGTTTACTCCTTCAACCTCTACATTTATTTATCTGCTAACTGAAGAGGAAATCACTTCTCTAAGGACTTTGCAAACAGTGTTTACTGATTTGTATGATTAAATACAACAAGCCTTTTATGTGATTAGGACTAATTTTTTCCTCAAAACTGATAGACTGTTTATCATTTGAAGTTTTTTTAACATCTAAAATAATTTATATGTATAATTCACACAAAAGCTTATATATGTACTCCTTTTATAAAGTTTACCAGTTGTTTATATATTTTTTCTTTTGGTTGTTTACTGAGACATGTGAATAGTTTCTATTTTTATAAGACTGGCTCCACTCTGTAGCCTAATCCAGAATGCTATGGTTTGGGGTGTAAGCCACCATTTACTGATTTTTATCATATTAAAGGTTTATTTCTTAGTTTCATATAAACTCACGTTTTTACCAGTTATTATCCCCTAACTAACTCCCCAGAATTCCTTCAATGGTATCTGTAGGCTTTTCTGTATATATGTATTTTTACATTCTAATGACAGTTTCCTGATGGGATCTGTAGGCTTTTCTTTATATATATGTATATGTGTGTGTGTGTGTGTGTGTGTGTGTGTGTGTGTATTTTTTACTTCCTAATAACAGTTTCCCAATGGGTGCATAAAACTAGTAAACATTTCTGTTGCAGATCTTTTGAAGAAATCAGCTGTCAATTGAAGCTGTCAATTGTGAATTATATTTTTGTTGTATTTTCTCCATTTGGCATTCCAAGGCTGTTCTTCATGATGCAATGTGTTAATCCTTTAAACAGTAACTTACAAAGTCATCAAAAACACACAAAAGTTTTACAAAGTGTGGTTTCATGTGACTTGGAATTAGCTTAAAACCTAGACAGTGGTTGTGCAAGAGCACACACAGCACATGAATACCATGTTTGATTTGCTCAAGTCAGTGTTGTTTGAGTGTTCTATGTATCTGTGTATGATCCTTTATACTGAGATTTTGTAAGCTACATTTATCAAAAATAAAAGCACTTGAAAAGGGTAAATCTCTTATTCTTCAGGATTTTTTGTTGTTGTTGTTTATGTATGAGGTCTTCCTCATTTCCCATAAACTTTGTCAGTTAGTTTTGCAACAAGAGATAGGGAAATGGTGATGTGGGTTTTATTCTTTGGTCAGTGAGGCAGTTACATTTTCTAAGTATTGTTTTACACTGTCTTACCCTCTAAGAGAGAGAGAGAGAGAGGTTTCTTTTTTCCAATACAGGGTTATCTCTGTGTAGCCTTGGCTATCCTGGAATTATCTCTGTAAACCAGGCTGGTCTTGAACTCAGAGATCCACTCAGCTCTGCCTCCCAAAAAGTTGAATTAAAGGTGTGTGCCATCACTGCTCAGCTAGAATATTTTCTTTACAGTTGCTGGTGGGGTAGATTCTAACTTAAAATTGCCCTTTTACGAACAAAGAGCAATTCCGAAGACTCTAAGATTGGAAGGTGCCTGACTATTAGGATCAGTTGATGTGAATGAGAGACAATATAAAGTTCTCTACAGAGTTCAGGAGGTCCATTGTAGGTCATGAGAACAATAAGGACTTGGGAGCTTTTGGTAGAACAGGGTGGTTTGTGTTTTAAAAACAACAATACTGAACCCAGGCAATTTGTAGCCATGGGATTTGAGTGCCTTTTAGGAAGATCTTTGTAACAGATTTGTTGAGTGATGAGAGAAATAAGGACAGATGCAGGAACACCATTTAAGTGGTCATTAACAGTGGTCAAATTAAAGATCAGAAAGAATGGTTTGTCTGCATCCTGATAGTTGATGGAGCACTTAGAAATTTTGCAAGCAGCTGTTTCATAAAATATGCCAAATCTAAAATTTTCTTCCTGTGGCCAATAATCAAATAAATAAATAACAGTGCTGACTGTCAGCACTAAACACATAACAGCTTTTACCCCAGTCTCCATGGTAACTATAAAGTGTGGAAACATCCATTTTAAAACCTGAATGTTGGACGGTTTTCTTCATGGGTTT